GCAGAATGTTGGTGTAGCAAAGAGCAGCTTCCCTCCAAGTGCTTTCTTCCACTAACAGGATTTAAAGGACCTGATTTGCAGAGGTGCCTGAAGTTCCACGGGTGAACCCAAATCTTGCCTGGAAAAGCTGAACCCACTTGTGCCATCTCCAGTTCTTCTCCAACAGGCACCAAATAAAAAGCTATCACTTTAAATTCACTGATTTATACGCGCATTTTTATATGTTGACTGATTTTTTTGGGTAGTCTCTGACTATGCAAATGCTGGGAAGTGGCTTAAAAAAAAGAAAGAATAAATCTCCACCTATAAAAAAGTAAGGTTCAGAAAAAGAACCCCAACCTCCTCCTCTTCCAAAACACACCCTATAGAACCTCTCTAAGCTGAAAATGTCAATTCCTTCATAAGGTGAAGCCTTGGTGCTCTTTATATTTACTCCAAAAAAGTGCATCCGTTCCGTTTTCATTTTAATTGACCTGCCAGAAGGTGTCTTCTCAATGAGGACCTAATTAGGGGAAGTAGCCTGGAAGCAGTGTATTGGATCCACCTGGGACAAACTGAAATAAGTGTCCTCCCCCTCTCATTACACTTACAACATAGCCTTCAAATACTCTCTTCAAAAATCTGCTTTTACTGGTTTTTGGCTGAGTAATTTTAAAGTCTTGCTATATGCCTTTGTTTCTGCTCCAAGTGATAAAAGCCAGGGAAATACCTTTATTTTCCCTTGCAGAGCTAGGACTCAGTAGTGGATGGATGGATATATGGATGGATGGATGGTTAGTGCCCATATCTTCCTCCGTAGCTCAAACATATATTTTGAAGGTGCCCATTTTATTCCCTAGGTACCCATGACATATAATTAACATATATTTAATAAGCTAAAGCAACTTCACCAATCTCTGTCCTACCTTGGGGAGGAGGCAGGGTCCGAGCAGAGCCAAGCTCCTGCAGGCACACGGCGTGGTCGTGATGCAGCTCCGTTCATCCACACACCACAGATTTTAGTGTCTGTTACTGCTTCTGGTAGCTTATTTTAAGATGACAACAATGCAAGCAGTGTGCAGGCACGTGTGTTTAATACTCATGACAATCTGCAGAAGCACCATTTCCTCTGAGATGTTGCTGGTGCTGGGCTCTCGAGAAATCCACAGCTCCACAGCAATATATATTTTTTGGTAAGAGTTTGGGTTTGTGCTTTTCCCCCCCTTCCCCCCTTACATTATATGAAAGTTTTCTACTCATCGTGAGGATGATTGTTCCAGGGCTATGGGATAATTAAATATACAAAGGGCTTGGCAGCTGTAGTAGAGAATATTCTTTTAGAAATGCTAACAATATGTTAAATTCAAGGAATTCCACCCCTAGTACTCCATGGGGTCATAAGTAAGTTCAGTGCAGGGGATATAAATATAAATGACCCTATTTAAAAATCAGGTACATGACTGCACTATAGATATTATGTCTCACTTATCCCTTACTTACTAGGGCAGTAATCCCTCCCCCTCACTTCCATTGTGCTCATTATTTTACACCTGAGTAAAATCATATATATGTCATTAATGGGTTTTTACTTCATGATGTCTTTTGTGCTAGAATTAAATGGAAATGCATTATTCTGCGAGTACTCCCACCTTTTATGGGAAGTAAATTCTTGCCACCCCTCCCCTCCCAATGCTAACTGTCCAGCTATGAAACAGGGGGCTATCTGCCCTCCAAGTGAGATTTTATTGCTAAAATAGAGTAAAAATTGTTTTAAAACAAAGAACACACATCTTTATAGTAAAACTCAAGTTTGTTTTACAATTAGAGAAAAGAGTCACATGGTCCCCCAAAACCCCCCGAGTTTTATATATATATATTTCGAAAATATATTTAAAAACATAAAAAACTCTAGTTAAACATATATTATGTTAATCAGTACACTTAAATATAGCTTAATTATATTTACAATATGACGCGGTTGCTTTTAAATTTTAATGCCAATTTCAGTATTTTCCCAAAAAACCATAAAATTATATAAATATACAATAAATATTTATGTTACACAAAATGAATAATAGAGAACAAGGCCACAGACATTAACTTACAGTTGCAAGAGTCTTTAACACAGCACTAGGCCTGCTGACATGCATGATATACTTTTGTCACGTACAGACCACAGCAAGAGTTTAATTAAGTAATATGAAAGAAAACCAACCCTCCCCTCTCCGTCTCTGTTTTAACTAAAACTGCTCAGCCTGTGATCATGGATGGGTCAGGTCAGGCAGGAGAGAGCCATGGGACTGCAGCTTCATTGCCAGCTTCACCTTTTGTCAATAGGTACAGAATTGGCATGTTATGAGGAATATCACTCTGGATGTAGTTACAGGACACAGTTCTCAACGTTCCCAGCTCCATCCTTTAGTCCCCCCCACCTACATGGGCTGTCCTTTACCCCTCTGTACTCGCCATCCCACTGCCCTAATTCTGCCACACCAGCACCACCCTCACTGTGCCAGGTAAGGATTTCTGAGTGTAGGATACAGCCATAATTAACTTTGGGAAATGAGGAACTTTATTTCTAGCACAATCGATGCATTAACACTTCTCTTTTGGAAATCCAGTTTATCTGATTTGGGAATTATTTTAATCCTGTATCTGAATTAGATTACTGTCACGTCCTAGCTATCTTTTTATTTCCAATCTAGATGAGTGATCTCATTGTTACTCACACATCAGCATCATCCCGTCCTCCCTATAAGCAACCTACCCTTGTTTTGAGAGGAGCCACCATTATGCTTCTGTGCTGCAGTTTTAAGAAGCTCTTGAGCCACTCTGTGTTCACTAAATTCAAATTGTAATACACACACAGGTACTGGCCACAGGGGAATGAAAGGGTCTAGTGGAAGGTGTACCTGCCTATAATCTAGAGGATCTTTAAGGTCCCTTCCAACTCAAAACATTCTTTGATTCTACGATTTAATTTGCACAAAGAACACCTTAGTTGAAGTTTTGAGACATTTCAATAAGTTTGGTTTGTTTTTTTTTTTTTTTCTTTTTCCATTTCTGATTTCTGTGTAGGAACCTGAGTATCAGCAATAGATGGGGAAGGCTGAAGTTTGACATTCAAGTGGGTCACACAACCCTCTCTTCTCACTCCCAGTCCAGCAGGCACATGACCAGTGCAAAAGGTAGCACTTTGACAGAGTTACCCTCAGGAAGAGGCTGCCCTTCTACCCCTAGTAGAAAAAGAAATTACTGATTTGAAGGTGCCTGTTAGCTTCCAGCGTGGGTTTCTACCAGTAATGACATAAATTCAGTGCTAAATATGCTCTTCAAAGAGCATGATAGGGGGGGATCACATTTCAATAAACTTTGCCTGGTCCAGGTTTTAATTAACGCAGATTCTGCAGCATTCAGGAGCAGAGATATATTTTGCAGCACATTCCTCTTTGTTCAGCTATTTTTCTTCATCTACAGGAATTACAAATACAGCATCAGCCTTCAGTGAGCTCACTAACGAGCTATTTCTGCTCTCAGCCCACGGTAGTCAGTGCAAGAGCTCAGCACAGCTCTCAGCCTCACAACCTTCTCAGCAATACTTCTGTCAGGATAGTGAGAGGGGGACCGTAGAGCTAAACATGTCTCTCAGAACTTAAGCAAGTTAAACCAACTCCTCCAGCACTTGCTCTTCACGTACTTCAAGAGTATTTTTTAAACGACAGTATTTGTTTCACAAACTAATGCTGAGGCAGAGGTAGAGCCACACAAACTCAATGGTAATTGCTTTCCACCAGAGGCAGGGCTCCTTTCTGCCTCATTCCCCAGTTCCTTCCCTGGGCTCCTACAGGCAGAGATACCACCAGAGTTTGCCCACCAGCTTTACAGGCCTGGGGCTGCTGGCATGCTGTGGATGGAGGGTGAGGGCATCCATGTACAGGGCCAAGCTCTCGCTCTCTCACGGAATGCACAGGACCACACCCAGCAGTGACTGCAAGTGGGACGGCCTCACTCAACCCAAATCACTGTTATTTGTCCCCAAACTGGCTGAGCTATTAAGTCCCATAACCAACCTGATTTCAGATCCACCATCATCTTCCTAGACTCTTTCTAGTGCTTCACCAAGACATTTGATCCAAGCACAGTCTTTTATTACATGAAAATCATTGCTCTCAACACTCTATAGAATATTCTCTATATGATAATCTCCAGTCCTATGGTAACTGAAATACCTCAAAGATCACAACCAATGTCCCTCCAGAGGGAGGAAAGGGGAAAGAAAAAATACCAAACACAAACAAACATAGTATAAGCAAATGCAGGTCTCAAAAGACTGCAAATTAAAAAAAAGAACAAAAAACAACAAAAAAACAAACAAACAAACAACAAAAAAAACCCACCAAGAAAGCGTCTTACCATACAATTAAATAAGTGCTGTCTTTAAGCCTGAAGTTCAACAATGTGAAGTGGAACATCACCATTCTTTTTCAGTTGCCTCTTTTTATTATTTTTTGTCAGTAGTTGGATTGCTATTGCAAACACCTTCACAACATACAAAAAACAAATTTGTTTTTAGTCCAGAATAAGGTAATGATTTTTTTTTCCTTTTTAAATCTGATGGGAGTTCAAAAGTAAAAGAGAAACAGTAAAACTATGACAACAGCACCTTGACATTGTTTTAATTCCAACGCTATCAGAAGTTAGAAGCAGTAAACATATATACTAACAGGAATAAAGATACTTACTGTCTAAAATGTAAACAGAATGTTTTGGTTCAATTTATTTTTCTGAAAGAGGACAGTTTATCATTAATTCACAATTGAAGCAGCATGCAATTTTATTATTTTTTTTTTAATTTTTATATTTTCAATTCTTGGCAACGGCGACAAACCACAATGTTAGAGGAATGTAATGCAGACTTTTTCTTTTGCTTGATTTTCTTTTTTTTTTTTTTTGGTTTTTTATTGGGTTGTTTTTTTTTGTTAGGTTTTTTTTTGTTTTTTTTTTTTTTCTCTTTTTTTTTTTTTTTTTTAAACTTGTGCGCAAATGACTTTTTGTTCCCCTTCAGGTCATGGATATGTTCAATAAATAGATTGTGTAACCACTGTACTGTATAAACTTCCATCATACATGCAGTCCATAAAATTATTTTTTACCGAATAATTTACCCTGTTATGTATATGTACAAATAGATAATTTTGTCTCAATATAATCTATACAACACGAACCCACTATCTTCCCCTTTTAATGGTTAATGTACATACACAAGAAGTGTCTATCCTTATGAAGCGCCAGCCAACTCTCTTTTTATTATCCATGGTGAGAGCTCTCACGTAAGACTGGGTAGTTCGGCACTGGGAGTTCCAGTGCCTCTTGTCTATGCCCCTGCAGCCCTCCTTTGTGTACCCCTTAGGGTTGCATTTGGTCTCATAGAAGTATTGCTTCAGTTGGCCTTTGGGTACTGGGACTTTTTCCAGGACTGTGACGGTGGCCCCGGACATGTCCACTGCAGTCTTTTTCTCTGCTGCTGTCACCCACTCACTCGTGCTGTCACACACACTCAGTTCCCCACGGCGAGCCGGATCGGAGTGGCGCCGGACCCTCATGGACATGTTTGCAGCATCCAAGTAGTTTTTGTACTCCTCAAGCAGAAAGAGCAGTGGGGGTTCCAAAGGCACTTGACTGCTTAGCATGACTCGGGATGTGTACAAGTCTGCATCCTTGTTCTCCTCACTGGGCTGGATGTCCTGGTCCTCATCTAGAAGCTCCTCTATGACATGTTCAAAAGTGTCTGCCAGCGATGTCAGTCCTCTTGAACCAGCACTGGGCCCATTTAGGCTCTCCAGAGTCCCGTGGGTCCGAAGACCTGGGTAAGCCAAGCTGCCTTGTCCTCTTAGACTAGCTTCTTTCATCGGGGCAGCTTTCATGCAACTGAAGTATGAGATAACCATAGTAAGGAAAAGGATGGTCATCACTCTTCTCACTTGGTGGAACTGTTAAAAACAAGAAAAACAAATTAACTTACAAGGCTTGGAGTAATAAAAATTCACCTAAGTTGTCACCTAAGACTTTACGCACTTTCTACAGAGATCTGCTGCGTGCAGCTGCAACTTGTTACCAGAGGCAAAGCATACTCTTGTAGAAGAGTGTGCCTTCATTTAGAGTTTCAGATAAAGCATATGCTGCACTTAGGCAACATTGATCCCAGCAAGTCAGAGTTCTTACCTGCCAAAGTCTCTCTGTAGTAAGTAAGTATCAGATTAGATACTATGCAGACTCCTTATTTATTGACTGATTACACCTATTTCAAGTAACAGCAAAAGCAGAACTGCTACTTAGCAATGCAGTATTTCAGCAATAAAAGCCAGCTTCACAATCATGAAAGGTAAGACTTCCATTTCAAGTGCAAATGTAAATATTTGATTTTTAAGATCTCTCTATGGCAAAAATAGTTCATCGTTGTATCCACAAAAACCTGAACAGCACCAGGATAAGTTGCATTTGTATTTTGAAAGCAACCTTCAGAACACAGGAAGAAACCATAAAATTCTGAGGTCTCAGCAGGTCAATTCCTCATCTAAATGTAGTAGGTATATACACACACATATAGAACAAGAAAAGGGCCCAGAACAGTACAGTAAATTTGAGCTCCACAGACACCTTGCATCATGTGAACAGCATGGGAAGGCCCTGCTGGATTCCAGGGCTGGTAAGAGCTCTCTCAAGGTGACAGGAGCAGAATCACTGTTTCCCAGAGCCTCACACTGGCTGTTTTCAAGTGGGCAAAGCATTTATTTAAACCTAGCTTGAGCCCAGAGCCCATCATGAACTCCAGCACAACCAGCCCTACTGCCATACTGAAAGACAGTTTGCCTGTTTCTCTCACATTCTGCCCCAAGGTCTGGCGTGTGCCATGGGCTGTGCTTTGATGTTTATGTGTACGCTTGTCTCTGTCCCCATTGAGAGGGGGGTAGCACCAGAAAGGAGTGCTGGTAAAGAAACTCTTCACCAGGCTTGGAGTCACCACAACTCGCACTTCTATCAGCACTCCCAACAGCTTGGAGCTTGTATGACTGCTCCTTCCCAAGAGCTTTTTGCTAAGTCTCCATATGAGATCAGGGCAGAAATTGTTTCCTCCTCAAGAGCAGAGGAGGAAAGCACTGTTACAAGAACCCCTCAAATCCTGTAGTGACAGAGAGCTATACTTTCTGTCTGATCCCAAGTGCTACTAAAACATCCATCACATTCAGTTGTTATTTTTCCGCCTTCTGATCCCTGTTCTCACCAGTCCTGCTTGCTAGAAAGCAATGGCATTGTTCACATTTTTGAAGAAGCAGCTAATGCTTGTTTCAGAGCTTTTGAAGTTCATTCGGAAGTACCTCATACTTGGCAGTAAATGCTGTTTCTGTTTGCCAACAGGGTGCTGTGTAAAAAAGACTTACTTTATCTCCTGCAAATATGCTGTGGGAAACTAGTACTCTTAAGACTTGAACATGGAAAGACAATTTATCATAAAACACACAAATAAAATAAAATGTGTACTAGAAAGGAAGTGCCCAAAATATGGGTCTCAAAGTTTACTTAATGAAGGCAGGGTGGAAAGTGTTTGGGTTTGTGTCCATGCCCTCCTCACCCCTAGCCTCTCACTGAACAAGATTTTGGCCAAGTATTCTCTTTACCTCAGCGCAACTCTTCCTTCATCCCTCCATCTCTCTTCCTGTTTAAAAGTGTTGTTGTGGCATAGATTTATTAAGATTAAACAAACCTGACATCTGTGACTCACAGGAACATAGTGTTTGCTCTAACCATGCAGAACATTAATATTTTGCAGATTTTTTTCATCCTACGATTTTTAAAACATTCTACAGGGAGTGTCAGCTTTCTTTCTCAAAGGGGAGAGAAATACTACAGAGGCGATTTACAAAACAAGGAAAAAGATTGTTAGTCTTCCTTTATCAAACAAGGAGAGACAACTCTTGCAGTCTTGAAAAGGGGTGGCTCAGCTAGCATACAAATGCAGAGCCAGCAGGACAAAAAACAATATTCATACTACATCTTTGGAGAGTTATTTTCTATAAGACCTAAAAGGAAAAGAACCCCAAACACCCACATCACACTTTGTGACCACCAGAGCAGTGAACAGAACACAGATCTTCTGGCTCCTATTCAAGTTCCTGTTATTTTTATTAAAGTAGTGCCCAGAGATCCCAGCCAATTCTTGACTCTGGAGGACAGAGTCTGTCTGAGCACGTAGTACCCCAAGGGACCTTCCAGTGCAAAAGAGAGAGGGCACAACACAAGAGGCACCAAGACAAGCAGATAACAAGGAGAAGCTTGCACCCACCAGGTAAGCACACCAGCTGGAGGCTGATCAGCTGCTTTTCAAGTGAGTTGGGTGAACAAAGGAGAGAAGGATCCCTGGACCAGGCCATGTCCTTCACCATTGTCACTGGGCTGTTTACCTCTCATGGATGTGAAGTGAACAGAATAGTGGCTGTGCAGCTTCACTCACAGGGCCACTTCTCTTACAAGGAAAACAGAGGACAGAGGTGCGGATTGACTTTGATAAGCCCTCAGAATTCTCCACCAATGGCTGGTTGGTCACCAGATACAACAGTACTTTATATACCACATTAAATTAATTCTTCCTTAATCAGTTTTGCCTTCCATTTAGCAAGGACACTGCTGCCTCGTTTGATATATTTACATCCCATCCAATGACATGCAACTACCACTATTATCTGGGGTGGCACAAAATTGTGTACAACTAGACTTTGAAAACCAACAACTTTTAGACAGCCGTTACCCACACAGTATACTGATAATACACAAGAAAACATGTCTGCTTAAAAGCCATTCCTCTTCCTCCCATTTATAACAGCAGAAGACTATGTCAAAGCAAGCTTTAGCAGCACAGACACATGGAATATTGCCAGCAAGCAATCACACATCAAACATCTTTTTCTTTGTAAATGAGTCCCAGACTAAGCTGAACTCTGCAAGCAGGATGTGAAAAGATTCTTCTCTCTATCTTGACAGTGACTTGAGCAATATACACAGTCCTTGTCTTTGGCAGCAAAATTATATCAAGTGATTTAATACATGGAAATAATATTTTATCACCTGGGAAATATCTTCATTTTAGGAGCCATAGCAATTTGTATTAGCAGTTGCTCAAAAATCTACTAGTTTAACATGGTATAGCAGAATAAGGTATCTCACTTCACAATCTTTCAGCTATTTTTGAACTGACACCTGAATGCATGGTTCATCTCTTTCTTAGTGAGGCAGGACTAATATCCCAATGTAGCACCAATAAGGTCACTGGAAACACTTTGGATGGTAGCTTCCAGTCCTTTTCCTCTGTTCCCCAACTTTAAACCTTCAGTATACTACAAAGATTAAAGATACTCCCTGTCCTGTTACAACAAGTGCCTTGTAAACCCCAAACACTAACATATTATATACATTTTTCCGATTATGAGCCAGTAGAACAGTAGAATTGCGCTGGGAACATGGGAGGAAACTGTATTTTCCTGTTTTCCCAGCATGTTACTACCGAGCAAGGTACTGAATATCCCCCACTATGAGCCCTTGCCTGGAGATGCCCAGCATTTCTGTGTACACCTGTGCCTGAGGATACCCTGGCAGACCCAGCACCTATTTCCCATGGAGGCTCACCAGTGCTGAGCAACCTGGTTGATAATGCATGTTCTGAGGGCATAAATACAACTGAATGCCAGACAAGGAGAGTAGCCACCACCACTTTTAGTGAGACGTGCAGTCAGAAAAATACAATGTAAAAATCAGTGATGACACAGCGTGAGTCTGCAGTCCCACAGCACACTCACTGCCTCCCTTCTCAGCCGTAGGAGGTTCAGGTCTCTACTCCACACCTTCTAGGACAAACAAGAGAAGACTGCAACCCCTTTGCACTCCTGTTCAGCCACATCTTTGGGCACAAAAGATCGAAGACTTCTCTAGGAGAGGAAATCTTGGTCCAACTGCTGTCCCACAGACTGTTGTATACACCCACTAACTTGTATAACATAGATATAAACCAGCCTCCTTGAGAGTAAGCCTGAAACTACTCCCTCGGGACACACGAGATCTCTGTCAGGAATCACATTTGAGACTGGCTTCCCAAATGCCATCCATTCTCATGGCTGCAAGAGCATCCTTCCCGCTTTCATGCAGCACAGCAAAGCTGTAGCAATGAAAAGAGGTCACCCACCACGGACCAGATCTCAGGAAGACGTGACCTAGTTTGTACTTCAATAAAGTCCATACAATTACAGCTAGAATAAGGGCACGTAATTGTGGCAGTCATCTCCACTAATGGGAAGGAGGCTCATTAAATGAAGGTCATGTCAATTATCTACAGTTAGTTTACATACAGACTCAGTTACCTTGCTGTACTATTTATTTCAGTATTTGTATTTAATGAGGATTCACCAGTTAATTGTTTTATTTCATTATTTTTAGTTATTTTAAGCAGGAATCTAGCAGCTTAACAGGTTGTATTTCCAGCAGAGAGACCTGAGGAACAGCTGTGAACATGCACTTGCTTTTCTGCATCCTGATATGTGCCATGGAAGTTGAAATAACTTTCAGTAGTGAATAGATTCATAATGCTTTAATCTCCAGAAAGGAGTGTGTTGAGGAAGATAAAATTAGCAGCAAGATGACATTCATTTTCTGCCTTGCCATTTTCTAAGATCTTTACACAAAAGTTCAATTTACTAAATACTACTGAATGCCACAGGCATGAGTTTCTGCTTCACGCATCATTACCAGAGTGTGTGAACAGATATCAAAATGGGACGCATGTCAGCACATGATTTGCAAAGACTAAATGTACAGAGAACAAATACTATTAACCTCTATCACATGCATAACTAGATGTCTGACACACTCTGGTTATCCTTGAGGCCACTTATGCAGCAAACTGTATAATTATTTTTTATTACTGCAAATCAAGCGCCCACCTCCC